AAAAAAGGCAGGAGAACGGAGGAGGCAAAAAAACCCTGGGACTAAATTCTGACACAACCGGCACGGCCGCTGCGGCTCCTGCCTGGGCACACGGAGCGGCTCCCGGCACAGAGCGCAGCCCGAGAAGCCTCGGCCCCGGGCAGGCTGCATGCGCCGCTTTGTGCCCGCACCCGGCGCCTGCAGCGCTCTGGGCTCTGAGGCACTGGGTTCAAGTTCATGCCGTGCCAGCCCCGAGCCGGGCACGGACACCTCCCGCCCGAGCAGCGGCCCCGAGCCCGCCCCCAGCACCGAGCGGGGCACACCCGATCGCGGGTCCCACCTGGGCTGGAGCCGCTCCCGAGCTCCGGGTGCCGCCGCCGCTCCGGTCCCGGTCACAGCCGCCGCTCCCGGCCGCTGCCGCCGCAGGGCGAAGCCGATCTGGGTGTGGGAGGGATTTTGGCCGTGTTGAACAAACAGCGCCGGGGAAGGAGGAGGAGAGGAGGCGAGCGAAGGGGCCTGGTTTGGGGTCACAGCAAAGAGAACGCGTTTGGCAGGGAGCCCGAGCAGCTAGAACGCACACTGGGTCATGATAAATACAAAGAGATGTTGTGCAGGGAGCCCGAGTAGACAAGAAAGAACCCTGTCGGCGTCCAAAGCACTCATGGAATCTTTCCAGGGCTCAGGAGTCACAGCTTGTGAACCAGTTTTCCCAGGGATTGAACTTTGTTAATTATTGTTTGTAAATGGAGATGTGCTGGTTGGAGATGTGCTGGTTGGAGGCCTCCTGGGGCATGGTGATCACGAAATTACAGTGTTCCCGGTATTTGGTAATATCAGGAGAAGAATGAATAAAATTTTTACATCAGGCTTCCAGAGGGCAGATGTGGGCCTATTTAGGAGACTTATTCAGAGAATTCCATGGGAAGCAGCCCTTAAAAACAAAGGAGTCCAGGTAAGGTGGGCATGCTTCAAAACAGAGATCTTGAGGGCACAGGAACAGACTGTCCCTGTGTGCCCAAAGAGGAGTCAGCAGGGCAAACATCCAGCCTGGGTGGAAAATGAGAGTTTTAAGCAGTTCAGGAATATAGGAGGATGTATCATCTTTGTAAGGGGGGGTCAGGTTTCTCAGGAAGTGTTTAAGGGGATTGCCAGGGTATGTAGGGAAAAACTTAGGGAGGCCAAAGCTCAGTTTGAACTTTGTTTGGCAACTTCTAAAACGGATTACAGATATACTAATGGTAAAAGGAAGGGTAAAACCAGCTTTTGTTCTCTTTTGGGTGCGGGAGGGAACTCAGTAACTGCAGATGAGGAGAAGGCAGAGGTGCTCAATGCCTTCTTTGCCTCAGCCTTTAGTGGGAACACAGCTTGTCCTCAGGACAAGTGTCCTCCTGGGCTGGTGGATGGTGCCAGGGAGCAGAATGGGCCCCTGTTATCCAGGAGGAGGCAGTCAGAGAACTGCTGAGCTGCTTGCATGTTCATAAATCTGTGGGCCCAGAGGGGATCCACCCCAGGGGGATGAGGGAGCTGGCAGGTGAGCTTGAGAAGCTGCTCTCCATCATTTACCACAGCCCTGGCTCACTGGGGAGGTTCCAGACGGCTGGAAGCTGGCCAGTGTGACACCCATCCACAGCAAGGGTGGGAAGGAGGATCCTGGCAGTTCCAGGCCAGTCAGCCTGGCCTCAGTGCCCAGTAAGGTCATGGAGCAGTTCATATTGATTCCAGCAGGCAGCACCTCCAGGGTGGCCAGGGTGTCAGAGCAGCCAGCAGGGGTTTAGGAGGGCTGGGGCGTGTGTGACCAAGCTGGTCTCCTTCCATGAGCAGGTGACCCTGCTGGTGGGTGCAGGAGAGGCTGTGGATGTGTCTGTCTGGGCTCCAGCAAGGCCTTTGGCAGTGTCTGCCACAGCTCCCTCCTGGAAAAGCTGCAGCCCAGGGCTGGGACAGGAGCACTCTGTGCTGGGCTCAGCCCTGGCTGGATGGGCCAGAGAGTGGTGCTGAGGGTGCTGCATCCAGCTGGGGCCAGGCACCAGGGGTGTCCCTCAGGGCTCTGTGCCGGGGCCAGCTCTGTTCAGGGTTTGCACTGACCCCATGGATGAGGGCATTGAGGCTTTCATTAGTGAATCTGCAGAGGGCTCTGAGCTGGGAGCTGTGTCCCTCTGTGGGAAGGCAGGAGGGCTCTGCAGAGAGACCTGGAACTGTTGGATGGATGGGCAGAGTCCAGGAAGATGAAGTTTAATAAATCCAAGTGCTGAGTGCTGCATTTTGGCCACAATAACCCCTGCCATGCTCTGGGCTGGGGATGGTGTGGCTGGGCAGTGCCCAGGCAGAAAGGGACCTGGGGGTGCTGGTGACAGCCGGCTGAACATGAGCCAGCAGTGTGTCCTGGTGGCCAGGAAGGCCAAGGGCTCCTGGCCTGGATCAGGAATGGTGTGGCCAGCGGGAGCAGGGAGGTCACTGTGCCCCTGTGCCTGGCCCTGGTGAGGCCACACCTGCAGTGCTGTGTCCAGCTCTGGCCCCTCAGCTTGGGAAGGACGTTGAGACGCTGGAGCGCGTCCAGAGGAGGCAACGAGGCTGGAGAGGGCCTGGGAACACAAACCCTGTGAGGAACCCCTGAGGGAGCTGGGGGTGCTCAGCCTGGAGAAAAGGAGACTCAGGGGTGCCCTCATCACTCTGCACAGCTCCTGAAAGGTGGCTGTGCTCAGGTGGGGTTGGGCTCTTTCTCCAGGCAGCACTGACAGAACCAGAGGACGCAGCCTCAAGCTGCACCAAGGGAAATATAGGCTGGATCATAGGAAGAAGTTTTTTTACATAAGGAGTGATAAAGGACTGAAATGGTCTGCCTGGGGAGATGGTGGAGTCACCATCCCTGGATGTGTTTAAAAACAGACCGGATGTGGCACTGGGTGCCAGGGTTTAGTTGAAGTGTTGAGGCTGGGTTGGACTCGATGATCTTGGAGGTCTCTTGCAAGCCAGCCCAGAGATTCTGTGATTGTGTGAGCGCGGGCAGCCGCTCCCTCGGCTGCGATCCCAGCGCAGGGGGCACACGGGGGAAGCCGGCACCAGGAACTCGCCTGAACCCCCCGGCCCTCAGCGCGGCCCCCTCTGCCCGCAGCGAGCCCCGAGCTGGGGCAGCACCGCCTCCGAGCTCCGCCACCGCCGCCGCTCCGCAATGTCCCGAACGCGCCGCCGCCGCTCCGGTCGCGGTCAGACACTCCGGGCTCGGTCACTGGCACCGCAAGGCGGAGCTACTGTGGGGTCCGAGCGGCTTTTGGCCGTTTTGAACAATCAGAGCACGGACAAACAACCGAGAGCGGTGGAGGGATGGGGCGTGGGAGGGAGAGAGTCACGAGTGGATGCAGTTTTCAGGGAGCCCGAGAACAGAAAAAAGATCCAGGCTGAAGGCAATTGCAAACAGAAGCAGTTGGCAGGGAGCCTTAGAACCAAAAAAAGAGCCAGGCCAAGCGCAATTGTACACAGGCCCTGGTGGCAGGGAGACCAGACACGGGGAAAAAGAGCCAGGCTGAAAGAATTTGCAAACAGGACGAGTTGACAGGGAGTCTGAGAAGCTGGAACTGGGCCCTTTGGAGATCCACAGCATTCTGCGCATTTTTCCAGGGCTCACATTCTGGGCATGTGTCCAGGGCTCACTGTCTGGGCATGTTTCCAGGGCTCAGGACTCACAGCCTGGCGAGTGAGCCTTCAAGGGGAGAGACTATGTTTGACTTGTTGTTTGTGAATAGAGGCGGATTGTGGGGAAATGTGTTGGTTGGAGGCCTCCTGGGGCATGGTGACCATGAAATTACAGTGTTCTCAATATTTGGTATCAGGAGGAACATCAAAAAAGTTTTTATTTTAGATTTCCAGAGGGCAGACTTCGGGCTATTGAGGAGACCTTTTCAGAAAGTCCCTTGGGAAGCAGCCCTTAAAAGCAAAGGAGTTTAGGAAAGGTGGGCATGCTTCTAAACCGAGATCTTGAGGGCACAGGAACAGACTGTCCCTGTGTGCCCAAAGATGAGTTGATGAGGCAAACGTCCAGCCTGGATGGGGAATGAGAGTTTGAAGGAACTTGGAATAAAAGGAGGACACATGATCTTTGGAAGGAGGGTCAGGTTTCTCAGGAAGTTTTTAAGGGGGTTGCTAGGGTACATAGGAAAAAAATAATAGAAGGCCAAAGCTCAGCTTAAACTTAATTTGGTAATTTTGTAAAGGATTACAGATATTTTAATATTAAAAGGAAGGGTAAGACCAGCTTTTGTTCTCTTTTGGATGCAGGAGAGAACTCAGTAACTGCAGATGAGGAGAAGGCAGAGGTGCCCAATGCCTTCTTTTCCTCAGCCTTTAGTGGGAACACAGCTTGTCCTCAGGAAAAGTGTCCTCCTGGGCTGGTGGATGGTGCCAGGGAGCAGAATGGGCCCCCTGTTATCCAGGAGGAGGCAGTCAGAGAACAGCTGAGCTGCTTGCATATTCATAAATCTGTGGTCCCAAATGAGATCCACCCGAGGGGGATGAGGGAGCTGAGATGAGCTTGGGAAGCTGCTCTCCATCATTTACCAAGAGATCTCTCACCCTTCATAGGCATAAGAAGGCCGGAGTGGGGATGTATATTTTAATTGAATTTTTTATCAAACAAATCAAAACAAGGGAATGAGAAGGCAGCCAAATCCTAAAGTTTCACCTTCCCCACAATGTTTTCTCTTTCCTGGGCTTCATTTTAGCCCCGATTCCCTCCCTCCCTACTCTCCACACAGTGGCACAGAGGGCTGGGGGTGTTTTTGTTTGAAGGACAGGGATCTGCTAAGGAAGGCAGGAGCCTCCCTGGCAATGGAAAACGCAAACCCCCTCCCTGTGAATTATTATAATTCTGAAGTTCAGGCTCGGGGCCGCGCCGGGCACAGGAGGAGCGGCGGCCACTCACGGCTGCACCGGTTTCCGCGCCTATCGCGATATCATCCTCAGCGCCGCCGCCCCGCCGCCGCCATCGCGCCGCTCCTCCCCGGGGGCGGAGCGCTTTGGGCCCCGGCGCGATGGAGGCGCTGCGGCGGCCGGCGCTGCCCGAGGCCGCGGTGCGCTACCGCCTGTTCGCGGCGGCGGCGGCGGGCCCGGGCGGCGAGGCGCTGCTGCGGCGCTGCGCTGAGCTGGCCCTGGTGCGCTTGGCCCCGCTCCTGGCCGCCTGCGTGTGGCAGCGGCAGCCGTTCCGCCTGCGCTACGTGCCGGGCCGCGGTGAGCCGGGAGCGGGCCGGGAGGCACGGCGGGAGGAGCGCCCGGAGCCGGGGAGACTGGGAGGGGGAGCCGGCGGCAGGGAAGCGGGAGCATGCGAGGGGGATCCGGGAGCGTGTGAGGGGAAAGCGGGGGTGTGTGAGGGGGATCTGGAGGCCGTAATCGAGGAGCATCTGAAGGGGAACCCGGGAGCGTGTGAGGGGGAGCCGGCGGCCGGGAACCGAGGGCATGTGAAGGAGAACCGGAATCGTTTGAAGGGACCGGCGGCCGGGAACTGGGAGCTTGTGAGGGGGAATCGGGAGAGTGTGAGGGACACCTGGCGGCCGGAACCGGGATCTTTTGAGGGTAATCCGGCGTCTGGGTAGCGGCAGTGTGTGAGGGGGGAGGTGGGCGGTGTGAGGAAGACCCGTGGCCGGGAGCCCGAAACCTGTGAGGTTTCAAACTTCTGAGGACTTTTAAATTCAAATGTCCCAACTTCAGTCCTGGCTTGAGAGAAATCAATATGGCTTCTGCCTGTGTCAGGCTTAGGCAAGCATAAAAGCTTCATTTCCTTAAAAATATTTTTATATTTCAGGTCATCTGATGAATCTCATGTTACCTTTGATGTGGATTCTTTTACAAAAGCTCTGGACAGAATTTTAGGTGAGATTGCTTCTTTCTTTGAAACAAATGCCAGCACTGATTTCTTTGCTGTTGTACTGACACCAAATCATGTGCAGGGGCAGACTCGGAGGAGCTGGATTCTGATGATGTGGATGAGGAGGAGGAGTTTGGTTTCTCAGCTGAGGATGATGAGGAGCTGGATGCTGGGAATGGAAGGCAGGAGCAGAAGGTGTCTCCTGAGGAGCTCGTGGGCAGTCTCAAGGCGTACATGGAGGAGATGGACCGTGAGCTGGCACAGAGCAACGTTGGGAAAAGTTTCAGCAGCCACAAGAGAGGGGTGAGTGTGCCTTGGGCTCTGATTTGCAGCAGTAATTTCCAAGCAGGAAATGTGCTGCAAGTGGCCATTCTGAGTGATGGGATTGGAACCTTCCCACCTGCAAGCAAAGTGTGCTGGACCTGCACCATCATACATTTTTTATAAACTGAAACTTACCTAAGCTTGGAATTTGCCCATCTTTTCCAAGGCTTAGTTTTAGTTTTCCCATCTTTTCCCTGTTTTTAGTAGTAGGGCAAGCAGCTGCAGCTTCACTTGTGAGTTCCTGTAGTAGTTCTCTCCCATAGGAAGCAGAGCCAGGACTCAGCAACACTTTGTGTCCTTCTCTTGGAACCTAATCTGGGTAATGGACAGTGGTGATTTTCAGCTGGCATGAGCATTTGGTGTCTGAATTCCTGTCTGTCAGGACTCAGGAGTGTACTGGACTTTGTTGGCTGCACAGTTGCTGTTTCTTTTCTCCTGTGATTTTCCCTTTTATTCTCCTTAAATCTTCTCCTGCAATTTGATAAAGCTTTCTCTTTGTACTCCCTGCAGGCAGGTTCTGTTGGAGCAGCCCCATGTGAGAGTGCTGGCCCTGACTGTGGAGCTGAGGCTGCTGAGCTGGCAGCCCTGGATGTGGACATGAACCTGGTGGCAAAGCTGCTCGAGTCCTACAGTGCCCAGGCTGGCCTGGCAGGACCCACCTCGAGCATTTTACAGAGCCTGGGGGTGAATTTACCTGAGAGCACAGAGCTCCCTGGCAGCTGAGCAAGGCAGGGAGAGCCTTGGCACAAGGCATGGCTGCTGGGGAGATGGAGCACAGACACACGAGCAGGATGTGGGAGAAGAGGCCAAAGGTTTGAATTTGGAGCATTCTGTTCATTCTGTGTCACTTCAGCAGAGTGAATTCATCTGCAAAAGCTTCTGTTTGCACACTGTCTTGGGTGGAAATGAGATTTTCCCAGTGCTAGCACAATTTCAGAAAACTGAAAAATTATGTCGAATGCATGACTCAAATGATGTTTTCTATTATTACAAAACCCCTCTCCCATTTTTCCTTTCAGTGATCCAATTTGCCACATTTCTAAAATGCCCTTTTACCCATGGCTGAGTGGGTTCAATATCTGGGGAGCAGTTCTTGTTCTGAAAATGCTGCTGCCTTCAGGGGCAGGTGGGGAAATACCACATGGCAGGGAGAGTAATTGGATCAAATGTGTAAACATTGGCCAGAAGTATTTTTTAATTTTATTTCAATAAAAACAAAAATACAACTTCATTAGTGAATTTTTGAAGGTATGCATAACTTCCTCAGTTCTTGGAGTAAAAATATATTTGTAATTGTTTTGTAATTGTTCATTTTCTGAATGAATTCCATTATTGCTGAATGTTGATATACAGCTACTGCTGACATGATGTGAGCCCAGGCTGAGCAGTTTGGGGTTTTTTCAGTGAAAATGTGACTGGAAGGCATGCAGCATGTTGCTTTCATGTGGAATGAAAAATCTATTTAAAATATGACAACTTTAGTTTCAACAAGACAAATTTGAAATAAAATAGATAGAAATTCTTGATACACAGACATCAACAGTGAAGTCCTGCTGGGTCCAAATCAGCTTCTTAATTTCTCTTTATTTCATTTTCATTCAGCAATTAATGAGTTGTCCTGCACTGATGTTGTGTAATTCACTTTGTCAGCAGTTCAGGGAGAGCACAGGCAGGTTGGACAGGTATTAGAGATGGACAGCAAGAGCTGGGAAGTGTGAAGAAGGATCTGCTAAATTTCAAGGAATTTGGACTGCTTAGAGGTGAGAGACTCAGACAAATCTGTGGTGGAAAAATGGGGTTATCAGAGGGTTTGTAATTGAGACAAGGCTGATGAGCAGTTAGTGGTGGAAAACAGAGGTACTTGAACCATGGGAAGGGTTGGTGTTTGACCAGGGAAGGTAATTTACACTGAAAATACATTAAATTCTCCATTGCTGAATAGCTAGATCAGGTTTAGATACTTTAAAACATAATTGAGTTGAAGAACATGATCCCATTGAACTGCTGTGTGGCCTGTGCTATAGGAAAGGTCCAAACAGATGGAAGGGCTCCCTTAGTGCATGAGGAGAACTCCTAAGCTGGGTTCAGAACAAAGCTGCTCTTTTGCAAACACTCCAGCTGCTGTTGCTGCTTGGATAATCTGACTTTTCCATCAGTGGGGCTGGGATTTCTCTGGGGCTCTTCTCATCCCAACTCTTCCCATTTGTTCAGCAGCTTCCCAGGGGAGCCCTGCAAGGCTCTGGGAGTGCTCCCAGCAGAGTTTGCCATGGCAGAAGAAGCATTTCCATGCTGCCTCTTCCTCTGCTTTGAGGTAACACACGAGGCATCTCCACTTTTAATTCTGAGAGTGTTTTTAGTGAAGGAAGCCCGATGGAATTAATTAGGGAAGACAAGTGGTGTGTGGTTCCCTTTCAATGGATTTCTGTCCAAGTGTATTCTGGAGTTGTTTAACTGGGTAATTTTCCCTTATTGTCTGTGTTTCAACTGGGGGAATCCCCATTCACCTGCAATGTTGAGGGAATCAATGGAAAGGAACCCTGCCTTGGCCATTATTTCAGGGGTATCAATGGATGGGGAATCCCCATTTTCTTGCTGAAATAGAACAGGGAACACTTTTTGTGTTTCAAACTTTATAGGTTTGAAATGAGAGCAAACAATTTTCAATTTTCATTGTCTCTAAGTTGAAAATTACAAGGAAGCTTTATTGTCCTTTAGATTTTAGAGTTTGAATTGGTAGAAACTCCCACTGATTCCATAATTTGATCGATTGATATTGCGGGGCAAAAAAAGGGCTGGATAAAAAAGGTGGCACTGAAAGGCAAGAAAAAAAAAAGTGGAAAAGAAGTTTGCAGAAAAGGGTGGGAAATGATGGCAAGAAAAAATAGGTGGCAAAAAAGGGCAGAATTAAAATGAGAGGGGGAAAAAATGGCAAAAAAAGTGGGGGAAACAGGCATCCCTAAAAGTGGGGAGAAAGGACAGAAAAAAGCAGGAAAAAATAGTGGAGGGAAAAAAGGGCAGCAGAAAAAATGGGAAGGGTGCAAAAATGGAGATGGCATAATGGTGAAAAGGTGGCATTTAGGAAGCAAGAAATCTCTAGAAAGGTGAGGAGAAAAGGGTGCGAAGCATGAGAGGAAAAAGGATGGGAAATATGAGGGAAAAAGAGCAGGAGTCCCAGAGACACCCCCAGAGCTCAGGCCCCCTCCCCAATGCCACAGACACCCCCAGGTACCCCCAAGAGAGCCCCTGCAAACCCCACAGACACCTGGGCCTGGATTCCTGCAGGAACACTGGGGAACAACTGGGCTCCTTGCAGCGGGATGGAAACAACGGCCAGGGCTGGGAATGTGTGCCCACCATGCTGCCAGGCTGGCAATCAGCTGGGTGGGGCCGTGCCATGGCAAAGGCTCCTGAACAAGTGCCAGGTTTGTGGGCTGCAGCTGGAGCTGAGAAGCAAAGGGATTAGTCCAGGCAGGAGAACATCCCATCGTGGGGCACTGCTGCAAAGTGGGCATGTTTGGAACAGAGCCTCTCCTTCAGCAGGCCAACGCTGCCAGATGGAAATGGCCAAGGGCACGAGGCTGGCAAGTGAAGAGCAGAGCTGCTGTGAAGGGAAAGCTCAGTTCATTCAGAGAGATCACACAGGTCACTTGAGCACTGTTACAGGGAGGAAGCAGAAAATGAGAGATTTCCAGGAAAGCCTTTGGAGTTAGTGGGGAAAAGGAGTCGTGATACCCAGTGGCTGCAGGGAGGGTGATCCAAATTAGTTCTGAGCAGATTTCCTTTTTTTTTCAATTGGTGAGGGTTATTAACCTTACCTGCAGTTCTAAGGCCAAACAGTTTTGGAATATATTCTAGTTTAATCTAGCTGTCCTCCATGCTGCATACTCACAGCAGCCATATTTGACTGTCATATGATGTGTGAATTTGCTTGTGTCCCTGTTCCAAATGTCATCCTTCCTGGGTTTTCAGCTTCTTTTTAACATGCTAGTAAATCTTCTGCATCCATCTGCAGTATTTCCATGGGTCAAACCACTGAAGAGCACAAGCTAAAGGATGCTACCTCCAGCTGAGCACAGGCAGCACTGGGAAAGGATGTTCTATCAGCATTTTCTGTCCCTGTGCTGATACTGTTCTCCCTGGAAGGGAGCTGGGAAATCCCTATTTCTGCTGCTGTGCTCTTCCTGATGTGTGTCACAGCTGATGCCAACCCCATTTTCCCAGTGTAATGATGATTCTGGACATGTCTGAGTGTACCTCCTGTCCTTGGAAATGTCACTGATGGTTATTGAGGAGAAGGCAAGTCCCAGCATTTCCATGTGGGAACAGAAACGTGTGGCCGTCCCTCAGTGCAGCTCTGTTAGTGACAGCGGTCGGTGGCCATTCCTGGTGCAGTTCTGTTATCATTTTTTCTTATACCATTCCATTTTATTCCCTTCACACTTCCCACCCTTTCCGATTCGTCACTTCTTACCCAGCACTGCCCCAATGGTCCCTGGGTGCAGCTCCTTTAGAGAGCAGGGCCCGTCCCAACAGGCGGCTGCTGCAGGCAGGGCAGGGGCAGGGCAAGACACATCACAGCGCTGGTGGTGCTCAGAGACTGTTGGCTTTTGCAGTTCAGGCAGATCAAATGAATCCAAATTGTCAGAGATTTCCACCACCTACTACTTCTCCCCTCTTTTCCTGCATGGATTTGACAGTTCTTCCTTTCCTCCCACAGAGCTGCAAAGCAAAATGCCCGCCTGCCCCATGGCCATCCCCACCACCTTGTCCCTCTTTCTCCCACCTTTACTTTGCAGCACTTTCTCCCTCCTCCTCCTCTCCCTGCCAGCTGCAGCAAAGCCATTTCCCCCACTGGCACCAGCTGCCTCCTCTCCCTCGCTCCCATTTTGCCCACTCTGAACTCCTGGAGCCGCCTGCCTGCGGAGCCGCAGCCGCCGTGGGGCCGGGCAATGGTGCAGGGAATGCTGGCAGGGATTCTTGGGCTGGGCTGGGCCAGGCCAGGTGCCCGTAGCCAGCAAAAGCGCTCTGAGCCTCTGCTCCTGCCCCTGGGTAGGCAACAGAACACAGCAGGAAAGGCTCGGGGCTCTCAAGAAAGGCAGCCAGAGATCTCTCACCCATCATGGGCAGAACAGGCCCCAAGTGGGGAAATTAAATTTCATTGAATTTATTATCAAACAAATCAGAGCAAGAGAAGGAGATGTTCCCCAAATCCCAAAAATGACCTTCTCCACACTGTTCTCTCCTTCCTGGGCTTCGCTTTGTCCCCAGTTCCCCCCTCCCTCCTCCCCACACAGTGGCACAGAGGCATGGGGGTTACAGTCACGTCATGTCACTGCTTCTCCCTGCGAGAGACAAATTCCTTGTCCTGCTCCAGCCTGGGGTTCCTCCCAGAGGAAGACAGTCAGATCCTTCACAGCAGACAGACAGATAAAGAGACAAGAGACTATTCTCCACAGTCAGGTGCCTGATGCCAAAAGTGGGATTCCTGCTCAGCGCATGTCAGCGGTTCTTTCTCCTCTTCCAAAGACAGTTGACAAGTGCCACGTTCTGGCCACTTGGTGATGATTTCCAAGAGGCCAGGAAGATTTGGATTTCCCACTGGAGCTCGCTGTGTCATGAAGGCAATGCACTCCCTGCAGGCAGCATCGGTGGCAGGATGGATTGCAGAGGCTTTTCCTTTGCAGCCCCAGCCCAGCGCTGGCACTGGGGATGCAGAGGCACTGAGGTGACCCTGAGAGGAAGTGCAAGGCACAGGGCGCAGCTGAGGAAGGACAGCGCTGTGCTGGGCTCAGAGGTGAAGCTGGCACTGCCCAGCGTGGAGAAGGTCCTTTGTGCAGCCCCTGTTACAGGGGAGCTTGGGCCTTGCTGCAGACATACGGCCACTCACTGGAGCAGTTCCCAGTCTGAAATCTCTTGTCAGCCAGGTACACGCACTGGGAATTGCCGAGGACAGGAACCCTGCAGGAAGGAGCAGAGGCAGCGCTGGCTGCCAGGGGAAGCCCTTGTGCCCCTGTGCCCCCAGGCCCTGCCCGGCTCCCCGGCACTCACCGGGAGCTGTAGCTGCTGCCGTCCCCCCAGTGCAGGCGCTCGCCCCGTCTGCGCAGCCCGAGCCAGTAGCCGAAATTCCCACAGAGGCGGGAGAGCAAATCCTGCCCAGGAGAGAGGAGTGGGAGCTGCCCCGGCCCCTCGGGGGGACACGGGCCCGGGGCTGCCCCCGCACGCCGGGGCTCCTTCCCTGCAAGGCCCCGGCCCAGGGCTGCAGCCCCGGCCCTGCGAGCACCGAGCCCGGCCCAGGAGCGCCCCCAGGCTGCCCTCAGCCACCCCACACCGCCCGCAGCCCCTCACTCACCATGGCCTCCTCATCCTGGGCAATGGCCAGGGAGGCATTGAGCTCGGAGCACCGTTCCTGACCCTGCTCCCACGTGCTGAAATCCCGTGAGAAGTAGTAGCAGACCCCATTGTAGCCCACCCAGCCATGGGGACAGCCCAGAACCAACAGCGGAGTCGCAGGGGTGACTGGAAGCTGTGGTGCTGCAGGGGGAAGAGGAGAAGCTCTGAGGATTCCCCTGTGCAGGGAGCAGGGAGCCCGCTCTGCCCCGAGGGGCTGGGCCCACGCTGCTGCCCCTCCCTTACCTGCCGGCACAGCCAAGGCCGCCCCCAAAGCCAGCACCAGCACCAGGAGCAGCAGAATCAGCACCGCCGTGCCCACGGGATGGCACCTGAACCATTCACCTGGAGCAGGAAAGAGCTGCTGGCTGCCAGAAGCAGAGCCGGCCCTGCAATCTGCTCAGCCCATGGCCAGGGAGCAGAGCAGGGAGCCCTGAGGCAGTGTGGGCCTTCCTCAGCTGGCAGCCAGAGAGCCAAGAGCCTGGCCACAGGCAGGGACACAGCTGTGGGCACAGGCAGGGACACAGCTGTGGGCACAGGCTGCAGCAGGAGAACTGCACAGCCTTGGGGGCAGCTGGGGCTCTTGCTTCCAGCCACGGATGGGGCCCAGCAGAGCACGTGGCCTCTTCCAGACATCGGGAAACGGCCACACACCTGCCAGCCCTGGCCTTGGGAGGGGACACGGGCCCCTGCCTAGAGGCCACAGGGGTGGCCCTGCACTCACCCAGGAGTCTTCTGAGGTTCCTTTTGCGTTCATTGCCGTTTGCTGCTGTGCCCTGGGGAGTCAGGGGCTCCCTCACACTCCCATCCCTGGTGCAGAATCCATTCTTCACATCTGCACTCAAGGCACGTTCACAAGTGGCATCCCCCTGCTTACGGCAAGAGGCTTCTTGGGCCCCAGGCAAGTGTGGAAGCGCAGCTGCTGGTCCCTCCTGGAGATGCCGGGGCCCGTTTGCCGCTCCAGGAATGGAGCAGAATTCACTCTTCTCCTGCTTACAGGCGGCATCTCTCTGCCCAGAACAAACAGCACCTTGCTCTCGAGACATCAGGAGTGCTGCTGGAAGATCCTTTGGGAGCTGGGCCTGGGGAACAGCTTTGCAGCCGCGCTGATGGCACCCTGAAAGGGACACGGTGAGAGGTCGCTGCTGGTGCCGGCCGTGCGGGGGCTCAGGAGGGCGGTGGCAGCTGTGGCTGCGCCGTCGCCGCTGCCCAGAGGTGCGGCAGCAGGTGCGGAGACAAGCGCAGCCCCCGGGAGCTGGGGCAGCACCGATCGCGGGTCGCAGCTGGGCTGGAGCTGCCTCCGAGCTCCGCCGCCGCCTCACCGGGCTCTGGGTGCCGCCACCGCTGCGGAATGAAACGAGCGCTCCGCCCGCCGCCCCTCCCCTCCCGGTCAGACCCCGCGGGCACTCGGGCTGGTGCCGCCGTGCGCTCACACTCCGCGGGCACTCGGGCTGGTGCCGCCCTGCGCTCACACTCCGCGGGCACTCGGGCTGGTGCCGCCGCAGCTCGGGGCTCTCGCTGTGGGAGGGTTTTGGCTCCTCAGAGTGCGGCAGCGATGCCGAGCAGTAGGGGAGCAGCGAGCGGGGCGGCAAAACGAGTAGCGCGCCGCGGGGACACGGACGTTCCTGTCCCGAAAAAAGCGTGCTAAGAAAAAGGGCTCCACTCTGTTGGAGCTGGGGAAGAAGCGCAGCCCCGGGGAAGCCGCTTCTGGGGCTCTCAACAGTGAATTCTCGCAGGGATTCTTGGGCTGGGCTGGGCCAGGCCATTTGCCCGGGGCCAGCAAAAGCGCTCTGAGCCTCTGCTCCTGCCCTAGAGCAGGCAACAGAACACAGCAGGAAAGGCTCGGGGCTCTCAAGAAAGGCAGCCAGAGATCTCTCACCCATTATAAGTTTAACAAGCCTGGAATGGGGACATTCATTTTACTTGAATTTATTATCAAATAAATTGGAGGAAGGGAATGAGAAGTACACCAAATCCTAAAACTGCACCTTGTCCCTGTTAAGAATATGAAGCTTGACTAGGCCAATATTCAAGCAGCAATCAATTTATTATTTAATATGGTAAAGTGTGAGCAATACAGCGCTGGGTACAGTGGGGGAAGTTTTCTCTCCAACTGCACACCGATAATTGAGGGTTACAGGTATTTATAGGGGTACTCATCAGCTTTTTCAGCAGTTTCTATTTCCAATTTTTTTACTCATCAGCAATTTTTATTCCAAATTATTACATCACAATTCTATACACTATTGTGATCTTAGTTTCTCAGGATGTATCTCAAAGGAGTATCCCCAGGTAGTGACGGTCCAGTTTCCGAAAGAAGAAAGACGAATCCCATCTGGTGGGGTCCAGCTCCCCAGATGTGTGTCCATCTTTTAATTGCAGAGACCATAAATCCCATAACAGTGATGTCCGGTTTCCCTTTGGTCAAAACCATAAACCCTTGAGGTGATGTTCATCTTCCTTTCTCAAGCTGTTTTTCTCTGCTTCAATATGGCGTGAGATAAGCATATTTCCTTCATATACTTTCCAAAGCTACAGTTTCAAGGATACAAGTAATATTCTAAAATTATACTTCAAAAGGTTATTATTGCAGAACTCTTTATGGATTAAATGCAGGCAAAAAGCAACATCTTTAACACTTTAATTCCAATGCTCCTAAATCAATTAGGGTTAATTTGCAAACAACAGATAGGTTCAAAGGCCTTTTCCCATGTTTTATTGTCCTCAATTATTATTACAATTCACAGCTCTCCCATTGTCGGGGTCCACACATTTCACATTCACAACTACACACATTGCCTGTTTGTACCTGACACGAAACACAACTTTGTATTTCACAAAACCCAGATGTTTTCTGCCTCAAAACTATATTCAAGTCTCTTGGACTTGACAACTTGACCCTATACCAATACGACAGCTGGATCAAAATCAGTTGAACTTAAACCTAAGATGCTGCGAATTGAGGTACAGCTCCCTAAAAGCAGAGATGACGCCATTATCCCTGTAGATTAACTACATTGAATTAAATTATATACAACAAGAGGAAACGAGCCGAGTAAGTCAGAACTGACCCAACTCTTGGGTCAGGGGATAAGAGCCGGTTGCAGGGATTTAATCGCGTTCGGTCCCACCGGTGTCGGGCCAGGACTGGTGCTCAGGAATGCCGGGAACCACCTTCCGTCATGGACAGGGGTGACTGGGCCCTCACGGGGCCCTGCTCGGTGCTGGGGCAGCGCGGGCGGCAGGCCCGGGAGCGGGGCCGGGGAATCGCAACCAGAACCGCGCTGGGGCTCGGGGCCGCGCCGGGCACCGGGGGAGCGGCGGCCACTCACGGCTGCACCGGTTTCCGCGCGTATCGCGATATCATCCTCAGCGCCGCCGCCCCGCCGCCGCCATCGCGCCGCTCCTCCCCGGGGGCGGAGCGCTTTGGGCCCCGGCGCGATGGAGGCGCTGCGGCGGCCGGCGCTGCCCGAGGCCGCGGTGCGCTACCGCCTGTTGGCGGCGGCGGCGGCGGGCCCGGGTGGCGAGGCGCTGCTGCGGCGCTGCGCTGAGCTGGCCCTGGTGCGCTTGGCCCCGCTCCTGGCCGCCTGCGTGTGGCAGCGGCAGCCGTTCCGCCTGCGCTACGTGCCGGGCCGCGGTGAGCCGGGAGCGGGCCGGGAGGCGCGGCGGGAGGAGCGCCCGGAGCCGGGGAGACTGGGAGGGGGAGCCGGCGGCCAGGAACCGTGAGAGAGTGAGGGGGATCCGGCGGCGGGGAAGCGGGAGCCTGTGAGGGAGATCCGGGAGCGTGTGAGGGGAAAGCGGGGGTGTGTGAGAAGGACCTGGAGGCCGTAATCGAGGAGCATCTGAAGGGGAACCCGGGAGCGTGTGAGGGGGACCCGGCGGCCGGGAACCGAGGGCATGTGAGGGAGAATCGCAATCGTTTGAAGGAACCGGCGGCCGGGAACTGGGAGCTTGTGGGGGGGGAATCGGGAGAGTGTGAGGGACACCTGGCGGCCGGAACCGGGATCTTTTGAGGGTAATCCGGCGTCCGGGAACCGGCGGTGTGTGAGGGGGAGCTGGGCGGTGTGAGGAAGACCCGTGGCCGGGAGCCCGAAACCTGTGAGGGGGAGCCGGCGGGTTCGAACCGGTAACGAGTGAGGGAGAACCGAGGCCATGTGAGGGGTACACGGCGCCGAGAATCGGGATCTTTGGAGGAGAGACCGGCGGCCGGGAACTGACGGCGTGTGAGGGGGACCCGGCGGGCTCGAAGCGGGAGCGTGTGAGGGGGACCCGGCGGCTTCCCCGACTCTCGGTGTCACAGCACGGGTTAACCCAGTGAGGCATCTGGTGCCACCTCCCTGCAGCAGCCGGGCCATCCCCGAGCACAGGACACAAGATTGTGTCAGCAGGGTCTGGGATATCCGCAGTGAGGGAGACTCCGCAGCCCGTGTGGACAATCTGTTGCTGGGCACGGCGTTGCTGAGGCGCCTCTCCTGTCTGTGCCCCGTGCAGGCGAGATCCCGGCGCACTTGGGCGGCACCACGGAGTTCGGGGATAACGTGGAGGATGAGTGGTTCATTGTGTACCTGCTGCGGGAGATCACCAGAGAGTTCCCGGGGCTGGCAGCCAGGTAAGGCGGGTGCTGCTGAGCTGCTTTAGTGGGAGGGCTGCCAAGGGGCAGTGCCTGTGCTCTGAAGGTTCTGTCTTACCATTGCCCATCCTTGGAGGTGTTTCCCCATCCCAGACACGTTGGAAGTGTCCAAGGGCAGGTTGGATGGGGCTTGGAGCAGCCTGGGCTGGTGGAAGGTGTGCCTGGCTGTGGCAAGGGTGTTGGAACCAGGTGTTGATCTTTAAGATCCCTTCTAACCTAAGCCTTTCTATAGGTTTATGAATATTAAAAGAAAAACCCAGCAGACATGGATTCAGAAGTGTGCTGTTGTGCTCTGCAAGGCTTTTCCCGCTGAATTTCCAATTTCTCCTTGGCCAGTATTGATGACAACGATGGAGAGTTTCTCTTGATAGAAGCAGCTGATTTTCTCCCAAAGTGGCTGAATCCTGACAACAGTGAAAACAGGGTGAGAAAAACTTGTGTCCAGTCGGCAAGGGGGAGCCAGTGGCCTTTTCTGTAGCAGCTGGAGTTTTCTCTTGCACTTCTAGGCAAGTGGTCTGACTGCCTCTGAAAATCCAGAGTGCTGTCTGTCCCTGACTGTTGTTCCCTTCAGGAGCACTCCTGTATCTTCCTGAACTTTCAAGCTCTGCTAGTACCACTTGCATTATTTTATTTGTACCACGTTGTGGAGTGTTTAGGCCAGAGGATTTGCTGCCCTCAGGGTAGGGAATGCTCAGGGCTGGAGTGTTGCTGTCTCTGTAAGGACACAGGCTTTGTCTGGTCCAGGTGAAATAATGAGCAGACACCTTCACCCGAATATGGATGGCTGCTAATGGCAATGAATTAAAATGGAAATAATTTATTTGGTCATTAGCAAAAAATTGTTTAATTATTTTCCCCTACTCCCAAGATTCTTACAAGGGCTGGAACACAACACCAAAATGGATGGCAAGTGTGTCCCTGGAGTGTCAGGCTCATACTTTCCTTTTGTTTGAGGGAACAGAGTGAGGGGGTTGAAAACGTTGCATTCAGGGCTTTTCTTAGGATCAGGAACCAGCAGAGGTCGCATGTGGCACCTGAAATGCTGCTTTTTAATGCCTGGGATGTTCTGAAGCAGTTAGGATATCTTGGTTCTCCTGAAGCACTTCTCTAGTTGAATAGAAATGTGGTGTTATTGTTGTTAAGGAAACAAGATATATTTGATGAAACGTGTTGCAGTTCAGATGGGGATTTTCCAGAATATCAAGGATTTTTCCTAATGTATTTAGAATGACCAAAGTTTATATTTGCTTGGGGATTTCAATTTGGAACAAACGTTGTAAAGCCTGAAAAGCAATTTATCAGAAAAATCTATCTAAGATATGTTTTGAATGCAGTCTCAGGCACTGCCTGTAACATGGGTGCCTCCAAAGGCACTCTGGTGACGTGGAGGGAGTTTGCTGGCTGTCCCCAGCCCAGTCCCGCTGCAGGGAGTGTTTGTTTCTGCTCTGGCTGTTGCAGGTGACTTTCACTCGGTGTTTGTATGCACAGCTGGTGCAGCAGCAGTTTGTTCCAGACAGACGCAGTGGATACACCCTGCCCGCCCCAGCTCATCCTCAGTACAGAGCCTGCGAGCTGGGCATGAAGCTGGTAATGATTCCTGGGGCATTTTGGCCTTGGCTCATGCATGTGCAGGGAATGGCTCCTTGTCTGGAGGTTGCCTGCTTGTCCAGAGAAATGTGAGCAAAGTCTGTCACACCTTGAGAACCTCTTGTTGTTGCATCTTTTATCTGCAGGCTCATGGCTTTGAAATGTTGTGCTCCAAGAGCAGCAAAGTGGCTCCTGATGCCAAGAGAAACGTGTTAAGGGGTCCTCTGTGGGAGAGATTCCTCAGGAGCTTGAAGGAGAAGGATTATTTCAAGGTCTGTGATTATTTCAGTGTCTGTGGCTTTTAAACATTGCAGGGAAAACACATAAAATACATTTTAACCCTTGAACTTGTGTGAGGAGTTGCAGTGAGGCCAGAGCTTGAATCCTTATCTTTGTGTGAAATGAATTAATGTGCTTAAAGAGGACATGTGGAGTTTGTTCCCCTTTGAAAGTAATTTATTTTGGAAATTAAAAAGGAAAAAGCAAGATGTGGGGATTGATTCATTCATTTAAAGCAAGGTGAGAAATACACTTGAGTGAAGAAAACCCCCATATGTGATTGTGTGAGGTGTGACTGATTTCACTAGTTTGCATTTCATTTCCACCCCTCTAGAATTCAATATTCTTCAAGATCCATACAGAACACCATAGACCTGTCTGGGCCCATGCAAGTGGAATTTTTATGTGTGTGATTTTTGTGACTTCTGGGGGTTTTGCTGAGGTTCTGTGGGGTTTTTTTAAAAGATGCCTTTGACTACTTCTTTTAAGTTAATAAATTGGGCATAAATTGAGTACTTCCCTGAAGGTTATAAAGTTGGACAACTTTATTGAGATTCTTAGGTTAACATCCTTTAATATACTTCAAATCCAGGAGTGCCCCTTTGCTGTATTGAGTTCCAAGTGTACCTGGCCAAGAGGTTTTAGTTGTTCTGGTTCTCTCAGCATTTCTGTGTCACCAACAGTCACCCTTAGGAAGCCTGACTGTGAGGAGGAAGGGGAGGGAGAATTGTTTGGGTTCATGGCTGTGGCTTGCATTCAATAGGGAGAAATGGAAGGATCAGCCAAGTACCTGGAGCTGTTGCACATGGCAGAAGATCACTTCCAGCAATCTGTTGCAGTGCCAGAAAGGTGAGAGCTGCTTGAAATTCATGAGTGTCATTACCCTACAAATCCTGTAAGTGTCCTTTGAAATCCTTGTTACAGACACCTGAACCCTTTTCTGCCCTGCACATTGAACATGGGAGCTGTGGCCAGAACATACAAGTACAAATTCCTCTGGAATGCTCCACTGGGAGAGGTTCTGGCTTGAGCAACTCCTTTATCTTGGTTTTGTGAAATGCTGAGCTCTTCCAAGTGGATTCCAAGTGGTGACTGCAAAGCAATTTTTGCTTGGTTGACTGTAGAAAGTGTAGAAAAGTTTCATTGAAAAGCAGTGAATAATGAATACAGGGTAATCTGTCTCCTTTGCTCAAGGAGCTGGCTGTGGATTTCTCTGGATGATCAAATCCAGAAAATAAATCACTACAGAAATATCTGAGGCTTTGCCAGCCCATAATATCTTGACTGTTATTTTTTTCAGTTTCCAGTCTGTGCTGTTTGGGTTCTGGTGATATTAATATTTACCAAGGGAAATGAAATGTAAAGGAAAAGAGCCATGACCAATGCTCTGGGTAGTGCTCTGGTACTTCCCCAGATTCATTTCCCTTTTTGATGTGTTTGCACAGAAGGATAAACGAAGAATTCAAGTGAAAACCTGAATGCAGGGCATGTGATCCCATTGAATCCATTTCAGTAAATTGAGTTTGGTTTTTCTTCCAGCTGTGATGAAGTGAGCCCAGGTGATGAAATCCTGGCACTGCTACAGACAACCCCCATTGATGTGAAGGAATTGGAGAGAGAAGCAGCTTGTCTTCCTGCAGAGGATGGTGAGCTGGATGGGGAATTATTCCTATTACAGATGGTTATTTGTGGGGGGAGAGGGGCAATGCTGACAGCTGTGAAGGGAGAGCAAATCCAGCCTTCCTTAAGACTAAACACTGGATTGGCTCTCCCAGTTTAGAGTAAGCCTTTCTTCCTCCACTGAGTGGCCAAAGGCTTCTCAGTGACTAGAATGGTCTCTCTGAGTTTGAGCTCAGCAAAGCAGAGTTTTTAGGTAGTGACAAGAAATCTGCACTCATTTCTTCTCAGCCTCTCTCTCCTTTGCTGTGTGTGACCCAGGAGCAGCACAAGAGCTGAACTGCAGAACTGAGCTGCAGGATGGTTGCAGCCCTGTCAGTCAGCTGGTTTGGCCTGTGGGCCAGCAGGCTTGTGCAGAGTAACAGATCTGTGCTGTGTCCTTGCAGATGACAGCTGGCTGGATATGACACCAGGTGCTCTGGATCAGATGCTGAAGGAGACAAGAAATGAGTCCCTTCCTTCCCCAAATGAGGAGGAGCAAAACTATGACTTGGAAACAGTTGCTGAGAGCATGAAGGCTTTTGTGTCCAAAGTGTCCACGCAGGAAGGAGCAGAAATGCCATGGTAGTAGCACCTGGAGTTTGGCTCTGGTGTGGAATGTTGCACTGTGCTGCAGCCCTGTGCTTGGTTCTGTGCTGCAGAGAATCAGAGTTTGAAGGTGCTGTGCTGAGCAGGGCCTGAAGCAAAGGCAGAGCAGTGAACCTGTGCTTGCTTTAAATCAGCTTGGTGCCACGCTGGCACTGGTGCAGGTTCAAGTGCTGCAAGCTGAGCTGCTCTGTCCCTCACTTTGATTTCGTGGTCTTCACAATTTTTCTCCTTTATTCAAAGTATTCTTCCACTCACTGTTTGATGTCTCATCCATACAGGCTTCAAACTTCTGAGGACTTTTAAATTCAAATGTCCCAACTTCAGTCCTGACCTGATAGAAATCAATATGGCTTGTGCCTGTGTCAGGCTTAGGCAAGCATAGAGGCTTCATTTCTTTAAAAATATTTTTATATTTCAGGTCATCTGATGAATCTCATGTTACCTTTGACGTGGATTCTTTTACCAAAGCCCTGGACAGAATTTTAGGTGAGATTGCTTCTTTCTTTGAAACAAATGCCAGCACTGATTTCTTTGCTGTTGTACTGACACCAAATCATGTGCAGGGGCAGACTCGGAGGAGCTGGATTCTGATGATGTGGATGAGGAGGAGGAGTTTGGTTTCTCAGCTGAGGATGATGAAGAGCTGGATGCTGGGAATGGAAGGCAGGAGCAGAAGGTGCCTCCTGAGGAGCTCATGGGCAGTCTCAAGGCGTACATGGAGGAGATGGACCGTGAGCTGGCACAGAGCAACGTTGGGAAAAGTTTCAGCAGCCACAAGAGAGGGGTGAGTGTGCCTTGGGCTCTGATTTGCAGCAGTAATTTCCAAGCAGGAAATGTGCTGCAAGTGGCCATTCTGAGTAATGGGATTGGAACCTTCCCACCTGCAAGCAAAGTGTGCTGGACCTGCACCATGATACGTTTTTTATAAACTGAAATTTACCTAAGCTTGGAATTTGCCCATCTTTTCCAAGGCTTAGTTTTAGTTTTCCCATCTTTTCCCTGTTTTTAGTAGTAGGGCAAGCAGCTGCAGCTTCACTTGTGAGTTCCTGTAGTAGTTCTCTCCCATAGGAAGCAGAGCCAGGACTCAGCAACACTTTGTGTCCTTCTCTTGGAACCTAATCTGGGTAATGGACAGTGGTGATTTTCAGCTGGCATGAGCATTTGGTGTCTGAATTCCTGTCTGTCAGGACTCAGGAGTGTACTGGACTTTGTTGGCTGCACAGTTGCTGTTTCTTTTCTCCTGTGGTTTTCCCTTTTTATCTCCTTAAATGTACTCCTGCAATTTGATAAAGCTTTCCCTTTGTACTCCCTGCAGGCAGGTTCTGTTGGAGCAGCCCCATGTGAGAGTGCTGGCCCTGACTGTGGAGCTGAGGCTGCTGAGGTGGCAGCCCTGGATGTGGACATGAACCTGGTGGCAAACCTGCTCGAGTCCTACAGTGCCCAGGCTGGCCTGGCAGGACCCACCTCGAGCATTTTACAGAGCCTGGGGGTGAATTTACCTGAGAGCACAGAGCTCCCTGGCAGCTGAGCAAGGCAGGGAGAGCCTTGGCACAAGGCATGGCTGCTGGGGAGAGGGAGCACAGACACACGAGCAGGATGTGGGAGAAGAGGCCAAAGGTTTGAATTTGGAGCATTCTGTTCATTCTGTGTCACTTCAGCAGAGTGAATTCACCTGCAAAAGCTTCTGTTTGCACACTGTCTTGGGTGGAAATGAGATTTTCCCAGTGCTAGCACAATTTCAGAAAACTGAAAAATTATGTCGAATGCATGACTCAAATGATGTCTTCTTTTATTACAAAACCCCTCTCCCATTTTTCCTTTCAGTGCTCCAATTTGCCACGTTTCTAAAATGTCCTTTTACCCATGGCTGAGTGGGTTCAATATCTGGGGAGCAGTTCTTGTTCTGAAAATGCTGCTGCCTTCAGGGGCAGGTGGGGAAATACAACATTGCAGGAAGAGTAATTGGATCAAATGTGTAAATATTGGCCAGAAGTATTTTTTAATTTTATTTCAATAAAAACAAAAATACAACTTCATTAGTGAATTTTTGAAGGTATGTATAACTTCCTCAGTTCTTGGAGTAAAAATATATTTGTAATTGTTTTGTAATTGTTCATTTTCTGAATGAATTCCATTACTGCTGAATGTTGATAAACAGCTACTGCTGACATGATGTGAGCCCAGGCTGAGCAGTTTGGGGTTTTTTCAGTGAAAATGTGACTGGAAGGCATGCAGCATGTTGCTTTCATGTGGAATGAAAAATCTATTTAAAATATGACAACTTTAGTTTCAACAAGACAAATTTGAAATAAAATAGATAGAAATTCTTGATACACAGACACCAACAGTGCAGTCCTGCTGGGTCCAAACCAGCTTCTTAATTTCTCTTTATTTCATTTTCATTCAGCAATTAATGAGTTGTCCTGCACTGATGTTGTGGAATTCACTTTGTCAGCAGTTCAGGGAGAGCACAGGCAGGTTGGACAGGTATTAGAGATGGACAGCAAGAGCTGGGAAGTGTGAAGAAGGTTCTGCTAAATTTCAAGGAGTTTGGACTGCTGAGAGGTGAGAGACTCAGACAAATCTGTGGTGGAAAAATGGGGTTAACAGAGGTTTTTTAATTGAGACAAGGCTGATGAGCAGTTAGTGGTGGAAAACAGAGGTACTTGAACCTTGGGAAGGGTTGGTGTTTGACCAGGGAAGGTAATTTACACTGAAAATACATAAAATTCTCCACTGATGAGTAGCTAGATCAAGTTTAGATACCTTAAAACATAATTGAGTTGAAGAACATGATCACATTGAACTGCTGTGTGGCCTGTGCTATAGGAAAGGTCCAAATAGATGGAAGGGCTCCCTTAGTGCATGAGGAGAACTCCTAAGCTGGGTTCAGAACAAAGCTGCTCTTTTGCAAACACTCCAGCTGCTGTTGCTGCTTGGATAATCTGACTTTTCCATCAGTGGGGCTGGGATTTCTCTGGGGCTCTGCTCATCCCAACTCTTTCCATTTGTTCAGCAGCTTCCCAGGGGAGCCCTGCAAGGCTCTGGGAGTGCTCCCAGCAGAGTTTGCCATGGCAGAAGAAGCATTTCCATGCTGCCTCTTCCTCTGCTTTGAGGTAACACACGAGGCATCTCCACTTTTAATTCTGAGAGTGTTTTTAGTGAAGGAAGCCCGATGGAATTAATTAGGGAAGACAAGTGGTGTGTGGTTCCCTTTCAATGGATTTCTGTCCAAGTGTATTCTGGAGTTGTTTAACTGGGTAATTTTCCCTTATAGTCTGTGTTTCAACTGGGGGAATCCCCATTCACCTGCGATGTTGAGGGGATCAATGGAAAGAAACCCTGCCTTGGCCATTATTTCAGGGGTATCAATGGATGGGGAATCCCCATTTTCTTGCTGAAATAGATCAGGGAACACTTTTTGTGATGGGATTTTATAGGTTTGAAATGAGAGCAAACCTTCAATTTTCATCATCTTTCAGTTTACATTGACAAGGAATCTCTATGTGCCTTATTTTTAAGGTTGAAATTGGTAGAAACCCCCACTGATTCCATTGAGGGATTGATATTGAGGGTAAAAAAAAGGGCTGGATAAAAAAGGTGGCACTGAAGGTAAGAAAAAAAAAGTGTAAAAAACATTTGCAGAAAAGGGTGGGAAATCAAAGTAGGAAAAATAGGTGGCAAAAAAAGGCAGAATAAAAAAATGAGACGGAAAAAAAGTGGCAAAAAATTGGGAAAAAAGGCATCAAAAGGGGGGGGAGAAAGGACAGAAAAAAGCAGGAAAAAATAGGACAAATAAGGGGGAAAAAATGGCAGCAGGAAAAGGGGGGAAGAGTTAAAAAATGGAGATGGCATAATGGTGTAAAGGTGGCATTTAGGAAGCAAGAAATCTCTAGAAAGGTGAGGAGAAAAGGGTGCCAAACATGAGAGAAAAAGGATGGGAAATATGAGGGGAAAAGAGCAGGACCCCAGAGACACCCCCAGAGCTCAGGCCCCCCTCCCCAATGCCACAGACAACCCCAGGTACCCCCAAGAGAGCCCCTGCAAACCCCACAGACACCTGGGCCTGGATTCCTGCAGGAACACTGGGGAACAACTGGGCTCCTTGCAGCGGGATGGAAACAACGGCCAGGGCTGGGAATGTGTGCCCACCGTGCTGCCAGGCTGGCAATCAGCTGGGTGGGGCCGTGCCATGGCAAAGGCTCCTGAACAAGTGCCAGGTTTGTGGGCTGCAGCTGGAGCTGAGAAGCAAAGGGATTAGTGCAGGCAGGAGAACATCCCATCGTGGGGCACTGCTGCAAAGGGGCATGTTTGGAACAGAGCCTCTCCTTCAGCAGGCCAACGCTGCCAGATGGAAATGGCCAAGGGCACGAGGCTGGCAAGTGAAGAGCAGAGCTGCTGTGAAGGGAAAGCTCAGTTCATTCAGAGAGATCACACAGGTCACTTGAGCACTGTTACAGGGAGGAAGCAGAAAATGAGAGATTTCCAGGAAAGCCTTTGGAGTTTGGTGGGGAAAAGGAGTCGTGATACCCAGTGGCTGCAGGGAGGGTGATCCAAATTAGTTCTGAGCAGATTTCCTTTTTTTTTCAATTGGTGAGGGTTATTAACCTTACCTGCAGTTATAAGGCCAAATAGCTTTGGAATATATTCTAGTTTAATCTAGCTGTCCTCCATGCTGCATACTCACAGCAGCCATATTTAACTGTCATATGATGTGTGAATTTGCTTGTGTCCCTATCCCAAATTTCATCCTTCCTGGGTTTTCAGCTTCTTTTTAATATGCTAGTAAATCTTCTGCGTCCCTCTGCAGTATTTCCATGGGTAAACCCACTGAAGAGCACAAGCTAAAGGATGCTGCCTCCAGCTGAGCACAGGGAGCACTGGGAAAGGATGTTATATCAGCTTTCCATCTGCTGCTAGGATGAAAAGAGAGCAAGATTTTGATTTAGGGAGCTGAAGGCTGGGGCAGATCAGTTTGTTCAAGCCGTGCCTGAGACTGAACACAGGGATTGTACCTGTGCATTTACAGGTTATTCTGACAACCTGTCTGCTGCAGCTGCCAGAGGTGAGCTGCTCGTGGTCCCCTCAAAAAGGTTTGCTGACAAATGACTTTTACAAGGTCAGGTTGTCAGAGTGTTCCCTGGAGTGCTTATGTCCTCTCAGGCCAAACATCAGGCTCAGTGTGTGTCCACAGCATCTTGGAGCTTGTTTAAAAGTAAAACAATTTTTTCATGTAAGAACTGTAATACTGAAGTCAGATCTTGTGCCATCCACAATGATGGATAGCAAAGCATGGCCTTTCCACACAGCAGCAGAGCAGCCCAGGTGATGGGAGAGCATGTGGTGAGTGAATTTTCTACCCACACTGTTCCCAGATAAGATTTTTCTGAGTCATGCCTTAAGTTTTAGCTTTTATATTTTTCAGATTCTGTACTGCTTTGGTGTGTAGTTCTGAGCTTCATATCAAGTGTTAGTAAGCTTTCTTCACAGAGTAGGGAGACAAAACAATTCCTTCTCTAGCTGAGGACTGAGGACAGTTGATCCAAATTTCGGGCCCAGGAGCATAAACAAGGATGAATTGAAAAGAGAAAAACAAGCAGGATGGGACTTCATAACCTGAAGCTGTAATTGCACAATTAACTCCAAGATGCAAATGGAGCAGAACTTATAAAAAGTGACAGACCCCGTGACCGGGTGTCCATTTTGTGCCCATTTTGGTTCACCTTGGGTGCAGCCCTGGCTGGGCTCTTGTGCTGCCCAAGGTGGATCCATGGAGCCTGTTAATAAATCCCTGCTTTATTCTTTAGCTCTGTCTGGCCTCTGTTCTACCTCAGCCTTCTCAAGGCATCATGAGCAGTCAGAGATCAAACAAGTTGTGTCATGAGGTTTGCTTACTTCAATCCTCTGCTGGCACCTGTTAGAGATCAACATGAGTTTTATGCCCTGCTATTTTTGGGAGGTAGGTGGAATGTTGCTCTCAACCTGCTAGTCAAAAAGTTACATCTGATTGATCAGATGAGTGCTATCATTCCATGTCCTGCTGACTGGCAACACCTGTGAGCAGTTGGGCTGTAATGCCCCAGCTGGCAGCTTTTCAGTGCTGGCTCTTGCTGTAAATCCCTAAAAGCAGAGGAGTCTCAGTGATTTATACAAGCCAAGTGTTGCCAAAGAGGATTCAGTTCAGGGATGCATTCTTGAGAGAAATATGTTGTTGCTCTGTGCCCTTCTGCCTGCCTGGTACCTTTTCCATGGGAAAGCCCTGCTGCGTTTTGGTGAGGAAGCCTCTGTCAGGGATTGCCTGTTCCTTTTTCTAGGTCACTTGCCTTTATGGAGCATGTCCTGTCTTGACTACAGTGAATGTTCTTCAGGCTTCAGACAGATTTCTGAGGCAAATGCAAGTGAGGACAATGTCCCTCACCTCATTTTTCTGTCCTGCTCAGGGCTGGGTACTGCCTGTCATCACTCCTGCTAGCTTAACATCATGAATGGAGGCCACCAATGTTGTTTCATAACTAAGTCAAAAGGGTCTGAGGATTTTATAAAACAGTTTAAAATGTAATGCTTTTCCAAAGATGTGATGTGATTATTATCTTGTAGGTGTTCTAGCTCTACCAAAGAATCCCCTATTTGAGTAGATTGAAAAGACTTTTTCTCTCACTGGTAGCTAAAATACCAGGAAGAGTGTTTGTAGATACCACCATGGCCTGAAGGAATCCCCTCCCAATCTCCTGAAGTAAAAGTAACCTAAGCAAACACAGTGTGTCTCAAAGGTGTGAAAGACTTGTTTTTTTACTTGTTGCTCAGGTGTCAGGACTGCAGATTTTTACCACTGCTCACCTGCAGTGAATCGCAGTGGTGGCAGTCAGGGACACATCCTGTCGCAGACATTTTTTCACAGAAATCCTTTCATTGGGACTTGTTCGTTTTCTGGGAAGCAAGGGCCCCCAGAAAGAGAATGTAAACAATTGTTATCAGCTGCTGTGAAATGCAACAGGATTGCACCTGTGATTGGTTCATGTTCCCATGTTTATAATTAAAGGCCAATCACAGGAGCAAGCTGGGGACAGAGTCCCTGGACACAACTTTGTTAGAGATTCTTTCTTTCTATTCTTAGCCTAGCTAGCAGCATCTGCAACCTCTCTCTTTATTCTATTTAGTATGGCAATAATGTATTATATATCATATATCAATAAATCCAGCCTTCTGATCAAGAAACCAGATTCTCGTCTTTCTCTCACCATGGAGACCTTCAACAGGTCCCTGTAATAACATCCCTGTCCCCTTCAGGCACCTGGCTTTGCAGTCTTGGCATCTGAGCTCTGACCAAGCAGGCAGAAGGGACTGTCAGCCCGAGTCAGCAGCAGATCAAACATCCTTTCACCAAAGTGTCTCTTTCACTTTCCTTGTCCAGGTGGTTCCCTTGTTGTTCTCCCTCCACAGAGGTGGCCCCATTTCATCAGTGAAATCAGACCAGCTCTCCAGGCAAGGCTCAGACTTTGGCCTCAGGATAAGAGGCCCTGATCCTTTCAAGATTTTTCTCTGTTCTAAGTGCAGTTCTTGTCGTAGCAGTTCCTGTCACCTTTGCATTAGCTGTGGTCTTCTAAAATGCTCATGTGCAGTCTTGCTCTTCCCCTCTCCACCACCAGATAGCTCTGTTCTCTCTTTCTTGGGACAGAAGAAACTGTCTTACCAGTGAGGAAAATATAGAAGCCCATTTAACATTTACAAAAAAAAAAAAGGGTATTTTATATGAAAACAGAAGATTGAATGGGAAGAGAGAGAAGGAGAGCAAACAGGCAGTGGCTTTCCATCTGGTTTCTGACAGCTGTCCCAGATCCATATAAACAGAGACACTGGAAAGTGCCACTCTCCCTTCATTTTTGTTCTGAGAAAAAGGGTGCATTCAATGTCCACCCAAGACAGAAAAAATGGATGAAAATGGGGCATTGGTGCCTTGGGGTCAGTGACAGCTGGTCACAACAAGTTGGATGCTTTGGAACGAAGAATTTTATTGTACATTTACTTCAAACCATGGGATCTCAGAGGTGATCCACTGTACATGGGCCTGTCAGACCAGTTCAGAGACCTTTGTAGGTCAGTGTGTCTGAGTGCTGCCCTCGCTGTGACAGAGTCCTTGCCTCCAGGAGCTTTGGAATCTTTTCTGTGGAGCTTTGACAGTTCTGGTGGAATCACAGAGTGGATGAAGCCCTGCCTAAGCTGTCTGGGCACTCTGCTGCTGAAGCCACTCACGGATCAGCTGGTGAGCAATGGCCTGTTTGGGAGGGAACCAGGGTAAAAAACTGCCATCATCTTGCTTGGAAGAGCTGGGCTCCCTCTTGAGACCCTCCACAATTTCCTCCAGGCCAAACCAACGGGCTTCCTCCAGCTCCAGGGTGTCCAGACTGATCTGGAAAGAATTCAGAGGACACCAGTTGCTTAAATCAGCTTTGAATGTGGGCAGTGGTACCTTGCCTCCACAGAGATCCCATTCTGGAATGCCCAGAGTGCTACATTCATGCCTGAATTAGGCACTGATGCCAGCCCAGGGAAGGATATTTCTATCCACCAGTACTTTGTTGTGCTGGCTTCCTTAGGGAAGCCACAAACCAACCCTGCTCTGTCGTGGCAAAGCAAAGTGGCTGAGCACAGTAATTAACGTGGTGGAATCTGAGTGTTCTCTGGCAAATGTGTGAGGGAACCTCCTCTGCAAAGTTCAGAGGGAAAAATCCAGGGCTGTTGGGCTCTGGGCTTGGGTACACAGTGACCTCAGTGAAATCTGGCACCTTGCAACAGGAGGTGATGGGATTGCTCCAAAGTTTCTTCTCCACTTGCAGAAAAAGCCAATGGAAAGTTGCATTTACGGAGGGTTTGGTGCTCTCCTAGCTAAATTCTGTGGGCTGAAGGAAGCTTTGCTGCCTGAGGCAGGCAGAGGAATAGCTCGGGGAGCCCGAGGCGCTCACCTCCGCCCGCTGCGCTCCCACCAGGGCGTGGCAGGCAATCATTAGGGAGCTGCTGGGGAAGGGCCAGTGCTGGGACGCCGAGTAGCGGAGCGACTCCACCTCCAGCCCCACCTCTTCGGCCACTTCTCGCCGCACTGCCTCCTCCACGTTCTCACCTAGAAGCAACCGCAGTTAGGCAAGGACGGCCCGGCCTCAGGGCAGCGAACCGTGGTGAGGGAAACGCAGGACACGCTCATTCCCACCCGCAGGAGCTGCAGCTGTGCTGTCCATGAAACACTTGCTGACGGGATGCTCCATTAAATTCATCAACCTCTGATAAACACAGGCACCAGAGACATTTTTGGCCCCATCTACATACAGATGGTGGACAGAACAATTCAATTTTAAGCCATTTTCCCTCCTCTAATGACAGGTCTGTAGTTTTTTCTTCTAAGCAAAATGGATTTTAAAAGGATCAGGGGTTATAACCCAGCAAATTTAAAGCTTATGTTTGCTATCAGGGATTAGAAGAACTGCTAGACACCTAATTCCCATTCCTTTCAGGTACGTTGTGTCTGCATGCAAACACTGATCTATTTAGATATAATGGGGTTTTGTTTCCCAGCTGTTACAGAATCACACACTGGTTTGGGTCCAAAGGGGGGACTTTAAGGATCATTTAGTTCCAACCCCCTACTATCAGCATGGACACTTCTGCTAGACCAGGCTGCTCAAAGGCTGCTCAAGCTTGGCCTTGAACGCATCTGGGGATGGGGACACAGATCACCTGTGTGTCCATCCTCCTCTGTGAACAGGGATTATGGCTGATGTCTCTTGCAGTAAGGTAGAAAAATCATAAAGAAAGGCTTCATAGAATCCAGCCTGCTCTCCTGGGGTCACTGGCTGGCCTTGTCAAAGCCAGCATTTTGCAAGTTCCCACATGAAAGCAATCCTGGTGTGAGCAGTTCGTTAGCATAATAATATCACTGGGTGAAAGACAACTTGCACTTGTATAGATGTTGGGAATTTAGCTGCTAGAGACTGGAAAAGCACAAAGCTATGGCTAATTCCAAGTCCTGCACCTGTGAGATAGGGTGTCCTTGGGCCTAGCTGTAGTAGGATAACAAATAGTGAAAGAGACATGAGAAAAGAGAGATGTAAGCCCTGAGGAATGAGGAAGAGTTCATGGTATAGTTTAACCAACAGATTGCTTGGCTTACAGAATATTCATAAGCTTATTATTTGCTGTAGAAGTGTTTGATACTTTCTTCAATAAATTGGACCTGTGACGAACCAGCTGGTGTCCTGGTCCCCTTCCTACGACACATAGACTGTTTTTACACTGTTAGATAGTTTTTATTTTTCTATCTCTCACAAACAACTTTTCCTGCACATACACACCAGTGGTTTGAGTGAGGGTAACAACTTTTTAGTTACCAATAAAGTAATTGGCAAGAAAGCTACTGACCAATTAGAGTCACACATGAGGTCTGTAAAACTGTATAAAAATGAGTTATGTGACTAAAGAATGGGCTTTTTCCTCCATGAAGAACATGGAGTCCCGTGTGATTTATCCCAGCAGATGTCCCCACACCCCGCATGCCCAGGGCCACTGTGCTGGATCAGAAGCACTCACCCATGTCACAGAAGCCTGACAGAGCTGTGAACATCCCCGGGGGAAACGAGGGCTGTCGGGCCAGGAGGCAGCGGCTCCCATCAGACACCAGGGTGATGACCACTGGAGACACCTGCCACGTGCACCCAAAGCAAAACAAGGGCTTCAGACAAAAAAAGTAAGTGCAAATTTTTGCTTTTCCTGGCTGGTTGAGGGTCGCTGGCTTACCACTAAAGACAAAGTACCCAAGTACGCAGCTTGGCACAGATCCCTCTCCCTCCTCCCCCCAGGGGTGAGCCAGCAGCGCTGCCCTCCTGTCCCTGTGTCCCTGCCCTGTGCTGCCAGGGCTCACCTGAGGGTAGTAAGTGACTCCACTGGCGTGGCAGACACGTTTGCTGCCAGCTGGGTTCTTCTCAGTGGGCTGCCCAGTTCTGCTGCAGTACTGGTGGGAATCGTGCCACCGCAGGAGGGACTGGGCCTGCCAACACAGAGGAGCACAAACTCACTTATATATATATACATATATATATACCTAGGGGGAAGAAATAATTCAGAGCAGTCTCCCTGAATAATGCTTGGTGTGCAGTCATGGGGATAAACTCTGATTATCTTTGGAAGCCTCAGAAAGGTGAATGAAGTATGGGCAGTCCTTTGAAAGTGGCAGATTCTGCAATCCATGTTTGCTGCTTCTAAATTTGAGTATGTTTGGGGGAGGTGCACAAGAGCTGTTGTTTATTGGGACATAATGGGAGTTGTGTTGGGAGCTGGACTATTTTAAAGAGTCTCCAGCCCTGAATATCTTCTTGAAAAATAGCCCAGGCATCACAAACATTATAGAGCAGGAAAGGAAACACGAGCTATTTCTTCTTATGGGTCAGGACAGCTGATTTTCACACACAGGCCTTTTCTTAGGCCTTCCATACACAGGGCACCAGCTTATAAGGGAGAGGGTTTAAAAGATCAGCTCTCAGAGAAGACGTGTAAATTTGTTTGTGATTCCCAGTTTGCCTGATAGTTGTTGAGCTGAGGACAAACTGGGATTGCTGTGATTTAGCACATTTCAGCTAAATGGCATAAATTACTGCAGTCATTTTAAAGTCACTTTTCTGTTTCCCTTGTATCTTCCTTTTGGGACTACAAATTTGGGAAAACTGTTGTAATTTATAGTGCGCCTGTATCTAAGTCCCTGAAAGTGTACAGTAGGTACTTCTACAATATTAGACCATAAAACAATGTGGGAGATGAGGACAAGGGTTGATGTTAGAGACTAGAGCTCCCTAAAGTAAAAAGCCCAGTCCAATACTGAAGCCAGCAAAGGAGAATCCTTCCTGTCCACGACAAAGAGAGCCTTCCGTAGGTCAGTAAATGATCCCTGCAGTTCTGCCTCAATGACTGATTTATCCAAGGCTCCTGTTCGAGGGAAAGGAAAAGAAAAAAAGAAAATTTGATCTCATAAATTTCAGCTATTATTGCTATTATTCCAATTTTATGCCCTTTGCTGTTCCAATATACAGTTTCTGGGAGTTCCCATGGAAGTGAACCACATGCAGGGGAAGCATTCCCAAATGTGCCTCCCCCAGCCCACCTTTCCTAACACACACAGGCATAGGAGCAGCAGTTGGAGCCCATGACCTGCCACGCTCACAAGAGCCCCTACAGAGACCCAACCCAGCCCTCCTTGGCAGGACAGGTCCTCCCAAGGATTAGGGATTTGTTTGATCCCAGTGCATCAAACAAAAAGAGGAGCCATCCCAACCTAAATCCAGCGCAAAGTGCGGCCTGTGCTCGTCCGAACATCCGATCAGCACCGACTTCTCCATCCACTGCTCGGCCTCCTGCAGCTTCCCCAGAATCTGTCTCGTCTCTGAACAGCAGGGAAAGGGGAAGAGAAAGCTGTGATGAAAGCAAAAGCATCTCTGGATTTGCTCTCTGGATCTTCAAGGCACAGGCAATCTTGGCTCAAAGCAGAATGCCCACGTGGGAAAGGGGACCAGATCAGTGATCCCACACAGGTAGAAACCTAAAATCTGGCTTTGCTCCTAAGCTGTAGGAAGTTTAGATCATGTCAGGCTAAAGGTCCCAATGTTGTAATGCCTGGGAAGCAGCTGTCCATTGCTTTTGTCCTGCACCAGCCAATAGCTTTCTCTCAAAGAAAACTTTTCCTACATTACACCCAAAAAACATTTGTCAGTAAGGCCTCGTTTGTTTTCCTGCCAGCCCTTTCTCTTCAAAAGGCACAGTTCCAAATGTTTAAACCTGATCACCTCAGAACAGATCAGGTTGATACCATGTGTGTGTCTCTGTTTCATTTCAGCTGTGTGATCCACCAGCTGTTTCTTTCTGGATGCACTGATTTCTTTCTTACCTGCTGCACTGAGCTGTGGTACCAAATATTTCTTCCCAACTTTCTGCAGGAAGGGGGAGAGATTGTGAAAGAGGTAGAAAGTTCCTGAGGTCTGAGCTTGTCTACAAAGGCTGTCATCTTCCTTTAACTGATTTAAGTATCTGCAGTGAGAAAATGATTGGGAAGATGAATTGAAGATGATGTTGACATTCTTGCTTATTTGGAGGCCTTTATTTTGCACAGAGCAGGGGGGGCTGAATGGACAGATCAGATTTAAGGTACTCCACGTGCTTGCAGAGTTTTGACAGCTGAGTTACTCTTTGGTGGACTGCAGCCTCTAGTGAAGTTTGTGTGGCAGAAAATACTGCAGTTCTTACCTACCACATGAGTACCCTCAAGTCTGGACATGCAAAAAGATCAGCAACCCAGTCTCTCAATCCAAAAGGTCTGCTGTAAAGGCTGCAGGAAACCTTGATCTTCCCTTTCCACACCCAATCCCTCCCAGCTTGGAATATTCTGTGAATTTGGATGGCTCCAAATGCTGTTTTGCTGAGCACTTCTGCTGTTGAATCTGGTTCCCATCAGACTACCTGTGTTATGTTGTACCTGTCACACTGATGTGAGGGGTAAAAACCAAGTCTTAGGGCACAGCTGGCTGGAGCTGAGTTAGGAGAAAAAAAATCATTGGGAAAAGGGTGTCAGCATATTCTCCTTGCAGGCTCTTTGGAGCAGTATTTAAAAAGAGGTGAGCAGCATCACTTCAAGTCTTCCTGGTATTGTAGGAGCCCTCTAGGCAGGACAGGCAATCATTAACAGAGCTTCAGCCTGAGAGAAGCCGTTCCTACCAGTGGTGAAGGGAGCCCAGAGGCTTGGCTATTACCCTTCACAGAGCTCACAAAGCATTTATTTGTGTGCGATGGCTGAACTGGTAAAGGATTAACCCCCCAGGTCAGGGTGAGGTAGGGCTGCTTGTGCCAAGCTCTGGCCTCCAGTACTCAGGAATCAGATGAGAACTTACCTCATTTTTCTCACATAGGTGGAGTGCAACCTGCAGGCAAGGGAGGAAACTCTCCTGTGCAGGGCTTGATACACTGCAGCCATAACCAACACCTACAGCTGGTGTCTCTGCCTAAAAAAAGAGCATAAAATGTAATGCAGCAGCCCTGCAAGGTTAAGTTTGATTTAAGAGGTGCAATAACCAGGTAAATCTCCCTCTCACAGCATCTGCAGAATCTGCTTTCTAAAATGATCACTTCAGTCACACTTCAAACTCCACTTCAAGATACCTCAGTTTGTTTCCATCTCTGAGTGTACACAGCTCTTCCAGAACTTGCTTATAAGAATAGATTAGACCTTCCTCTCCCAAATCTTGTGTCCCTGGGGAAAAGGGCAGATAAGGTGGCTGCTCTTTTGCTGGTTTCCTACACAGTTGTAATGGCCTCGATCCAACCACACATCCTATTGCAGCACACAGTGGATCTGTGGGAAAGGCACTGATGCCAGGAGAGAGTGAAAGACAAAATATCAGCTGCGCAAGAGAATTCCCTGAGCTAGACAGGGGACAGCAGTTGCAGCTGAGTGGGATCATCTCCAGCTACGACCGCTTTTTGTGCCAAAGAATCACAGCACGTTTTCAGCCCAGGCTGAAAGCCTGACCTCGGCTTCAGGATGTCAAAAATAGCCAGAGACCGAGACAGAAGCGAACTGTGGTGCACAATCCCTGGTGGTCACTGAGAACATCGCACTCTGCAGCCATAGAACACAAACCCCTTTATGGAGCAAGTCACGTTTACTTTGTTACAGACACTCAGGCAGTGCCAGGAAGTGTCTGAGAGCTCTTCCTTCAGCACAGGTCAGTGATGGCAGCCTGAGAGGTGCCTCAGCACAGGCTCCTATTTACACGTGCAGACTTTGCCTCGTGGCTCTGGACGTCTCCGCCCCAGATCGCCCGGACTGGGACAATCCCTTCGGGAAGCCACGGGGAGCAGTGGGAGCTGGGCGCGCTGGTGCTGACACCTGTGAGGACGGTGGCTGCCACACAGACCGTGTCACAGAGGGTTGGGTGGGGTGACAGCCCTGTGTGCGTGTGTCGCTCTCCACCCCCGGCTCTCGCAGCGACCGCCGTGCAAACTTCCCGGCGCCGAACCGGAGCGCCGCCTTCGCTCCGGAACGAGCGGCAGCGCTGTCCCCGGCTGGGACAAAGGGAAGGAAGAGCTTTGTGCCCCGACCCGAGCGCGACAGGCGCTTAACCCCTTCCTCTCCAGCAACCACCGCGCCAGGCTTTGGCTGGGACCATGAAAACTCCCAGACAGCAAAGCCTGCACCTCCAGAGATCCCCAGGAGGCAGGAGCGGGGTCGCACCGCCCTTCCCCGCGCGTTCCCCACTCACTGCGCCGTGTGCGGAAGCAGCGCCGGCCCCGGTCAGCGGCAGAGCCCGGCCGGCCCCTCCGCTGCGCTCCAGCCGCTCTTCCCGCACCGGGAGCGCTGGGAATTGTAGTTCTGTACAGGCTGCAGCGTGTTCCTGTTCCTTACTTTCTCTTTTCTCCTCCTTTTCCCCCCACCCCAAGCTTCTCTGGGTTTCGTATCCCCAGCACGGAAGGGTTGTTTAAAGTAAAGGACCACACGTCCTCGAATAGGAAAAGATGCCAAAAGTCACACGGGGCATCATTTGTGATCATTTATTTCCAAATTTTGATTTTGGAAGGAATTTGAGATGGGACTTTTGGAGTTATTTTTGATGATGTAGTTTATTTTTTAAAAATTTTTATATAGGTAGGAAGGGTGAGTTCGGTTTTTGTTGTTATGGTATGGTTTAGAAAGTTACAAGATTTTTAGTTATAAGACTTTTGAAGGATAAAATATCATTAATAAGGATAAAATATTGCTAAAATATTGTTAACAAGGATATTTATGTTTTTTTACTTAACCTTTAAATAGTTTTAATGCATTTATGTTTCAGTGTAAGCTTTTAAAGTTAATTATGTTATGTTTTAGTTAATTATATTAACGATAAACTTATAATATTGTATTTTAATTCTTTTGTTTATTTTTGTAGGGTGTTTTTTGTACCTTAAACTTTACAACTCCAAACTTTTTTTTACTTAGCTTAACGTTTTTCGGTTTAAACTATAAATCTACCTTTTTGCTTTCAGCACTTAAGTTTGGAAGTTTTTTCCAAGGTCTCAGATCAAATGCTGTGTTTCATTTTAAGCTTTGGTTTACCGGCTCAAAGTTTTGAGAGTTCCTTGCATTTCAGATTCCGACAGCTGGATATGTCCAAAGGCTGGAGCTGTTCAGTGCTCGAGCACCCAAATACCCACAGCTGGATTTAACAGCTCTGATCAGAGAGCACCCTGTGCCAGGGCACGTCACAATAATGACAAATCACTTTCATTCCTTTGCAATCCAACAGATTCCTCTCGAGTATTGAAAACACGATTCTGGGTTGGAGCCTACCTGACTATATTTAGCACAAAGAGAATTTTATAAACATACAAAAAGTAAATGTTTTCAGGGCAGCCTGTTGCTTTTTGGTCATGAATTGAGCTGTTCTAATCGAGAATTCACGTCATGTAATCTGAGAGCATGGCTTGTAAAAATAATAAACAGAATATCCAGGGAAATAGTGCTCTCGTTACCAGAGTTACTCCAAGTTTAGCTTTAATTATGCTTGACTGCTATTTTTATGCTTCCTGAAACAGAGCAAGCCCAGTCTTATTAATCCAGCAAGCTAATTGGATTAATGGACAAAACACATCTTCCCTTAATAAGATAAAGGATTGAAATATAATCTCTAAGGGAAGTATCCACCCTGCTGTTAAAACAAACTAACAGATTTATTGACCCTAAATGCCCCCAGATATGGATCTTGCAAGAGGAGCTGGCTTTAGAGGGAAGCAGCTGGGGGAGATGCTTGGGACATCAAATCTGGGGCCAGCCTTTCCAGCTGGTTCAGCACAGAGCAGCCAGGTGTTGGTGAGTGCTCCTGTCACAGGAAGGACTAAAAGCCAGGGCAGCAGGGCAGGGCAGTGCTCTGGCCTCTCCTTGTTAGGTGAGCTCAAACCCTCATGGCTTGGATCAGCCCAGCCATGCCCACCTAGCCCTGTGCCTCAGGAAGATAAGTAATGAGATAAGAGTCTGCACTGCTGCTGGTCCAAGCCCTCTGTGAGAGATCCCTTGTGCCTCCTCTTCCAGGGTTCACACCTCAAATACCCTGTTAGGTACTTCTGCAGCATGTCAGCAAGGGGCATGATTTCAAAAGAGAGGCTGGCTTGTCATTTATTCACTTAATTCAAAGAGCATAAATGCCAGCTGTTGTTTTGGCACTTGAGTTGTTTCTTTGTAAGCATTTTTGGGGCTCCAGGTTGAGCGAGTTGCATCTGTAAATTGTTTATATCAGTCCCTTGCAGACATTGTACCCTGTGCTGGGAGCAATCCTGGGAGTGAAGTGAGAGCCTGGACACAAAAATGCATCTCTGACAGCTTTGTGTAGCTTACCAATTTCAGCTTTGGCAGGGCCCCAGAGGAAATCAATCCCAGAAACTCTCCTGATGCAGTAAGAGCAAACCAAAGGAGCAGGCAAAGAGGACCTAGGGAACATCATCTCTTACACGGACAAAATCAAGGTAAATCTTTGGTCCTGTGTTGCACAAATTATTATTTTTATTAAATTTATTATATCTAATCTTAAATCTATTATATCTAAAATATATATTATTTTTCTTCAATTTTCTATTGTAAAATATACTCATATTGGGATTAAGAGTTGGTAAAAGATTTTTCCAAGCCATAAAAGCAGCTGGAAAATGTAATTCCAGGCTAATAATGGTTATACTACTAATCTTGCTTTTCCTTTCTCTTTTGTGCCTCTCCAGTTGCCCCCAATAAGCAGAAATAAGCATTAGAATTGCTAACAGCTGGCCCTTGTAAAACAACTGTTAATTGCCTTAAATACATGGAACCAGCAAATTCACATCAAAAACTTGTGGTCAAGCCTCAAGGAACTTTTTGGAAAGAAAAAAAATGCTTTTTTTAGGATCCCAAAATCTGGCTTTTCTCTGAAGTTAGAATCATGTCTGTCATGTATATGATGGACCTTTTAATCAGCTGGGCCTTTTAAGTTAATGTGGATTGATATAAATGTGACTCAGCAACCTCATTAATCAAATCTAACGAGCTGGAGCCTTCAGCCCCCTCCTGATGGACTTGTTGGTGTCCCCCACTGCCTGCCTCACTTCCTAAAAATATCTGGAGAGTGCAAAAGAGGATGAGAAAGCAGCAGACCTCGCTTGAAGAAGTCTGCCTGTGCCTCTGCAGTGTGTGAGGTTTTGCCAAATCTCTAGAAGCTGCTGTTAAATCTCTGGCTAGATGTTAGGGACTCTCTGGATAACAGGGCTTTAACTGGATGCCTCAGCTTGGATAACATTCCAGAGTTTCCTGCTAGTTGTAGGAGTTGTATTTCTGTTGGAAGGCGACCAGAATGAGAGGAAGGGAAGGCTTATTTTTTGATGGATAGTTCCACTAAAAACTGGCCTTCTTCCTGCTCTGCTGTCAGCTGTGTGGACACATCTGTGTCCACAGCTGGACAAGAAACAAATACATTCACCTCATGCCCTTGTTTGTGTCTCCTGCACCCCCTAAAATGGGACAAAACACCCAAGGCTTTGTCCCTTCGGGTGGGAGCTGAGGTGACAGTCTGGGTACAGGGAGAAATCTCAGCTGCAGCCTCCAGGTCCCTCTTCTGGACGAGGTGATTTTAGGGCAGTCACTCTGATAACAATGTGTGTTAGAGGGGGGGTTTGGCGCTGCTGTGCCTTTGCCAGCTCTCTGTTGTTGTCGTGAGAGATTTCCAGCTGGGAGTGAGCACCAATTGAAAGGGCAAAGATGGAAGGCTGGCTGCGCTAGTGAGGAGGTGAACCTTGCCTTGAAACCCTCACCTAAAGAGATGGGGAAAAACGCTTGGGAATGTCCCTGATTCCAACTGAATGGCTGGAATGAGCAAACAACCAGTTTATTTAGGAAACCCTAGAAAGCAAAGAGCAGGCAGCATCGATCTCTCCGAGTAAAACTCACCCAAGCAGCTTTTTAAAGCACCTGAGAGGGTTCGGAGCGCTGCAGCACCGCCCAGGCTGGCCTCGATGATCTCGGACTGATTCCCTAGTGCTGAGCCCAGCTGCCCTGGCAGCAAGGTACGGGACCGGCGTTCTGGGCCTTTCTGGCAACTTTTACTCCAAAAACACCGCTCCGGCTCCGTGCTTCCCACCGGCCTTGGCTCGGGGGCTGTTCCCAGCTCGCAGCACCCGGGCCGGTGGCGGTCCCAGGCCGGTCCCACGTGCGCGGTGTCCCCGGGCCGGTGGCGGTCCTGGGCCGGTCCCACGTGCGCGGTGTCCCCCGACCGGGGGGACCCACGTGGAGACGCGGCGGTACTGGCGGCGCATGCGCAGTGCGGCGCCCGCCGCTGTGACCGGACTCACGTAGCGCGCGGGCCGCGCCGCCCGGGGGGCGTGGCCTGAGGGGGCGTGGCCGGGCGCGGCTATAAGAGGCTCGGCGGGGCCGGGCGCGCTCAGTGGGTGAAGCCCCCGGGCAGATCGCGGAGCTCCAGCGCTGCCCCCGCTCCGCCGCCCCCCGTGCTCAGGTGAGGCCCGGCCGCCCCGTCCCGCCGGCCGTGAGGGTGCCCGATGGGTGGGTCGGGGGGAGGGACCCGCGGGGCTGGGCGGCTGCCGTGCGGGCGGCAGAGGGTGGGTGCGATACGTGGCAGCGCTCCGCCGCCCCCCGCCTTCCCCGCGGCCAGGGGCCGGTGTCCCGGAGCTGCCCGCCGGGGTTCCCGGCCCTTACGTAACGGGAGCCGGCAGCCTCCGGAGGGGGGCGGGAGGGCGCCGGCGCGCCGGCTTCCCCGCGGCTGGCAGACTAAACAGCAGCCGCCTCGCTCTGCCTCTCCTCCTGCAGGAGCTGGGAGTTGTCCCCTCGGCCGGGTCGGGTCCGGTGCTGCAGGTGGGCTCCCGCCCCGCTCGGTGGCCCCGCAGCTGCAGCGCCTTGCCCGTGCGGCCGCGGGAGCTGCGAGCGCACGGCTCGGGGCTGGCAGCGATGGAAAGTTACTCGGCGTGAGCTGAGCGCGGGGATTGCGCCCTGGGGAACGCGGCTTGCCTTGCTTTCCCTCGCCGCTGCTTTGGGTTGGGCTCGGCCAGCTGCTCTACGTGGAATTTTGCATTTGCCTTTGTAGTAAGCGATGCCGTTCCGTTTTGATAGGCTCCAGCCTGACTGGCAGGAGAAACTCTGGAGCCTTTAGCATGCTGAAGAATATAATAAAATATATAAAAATTTAAATATTATATA